AAAAAAAAAAAAAAAAAAAAAAACGATACTAGTAACACAAACACAGACACTATATAGTTTGAAGAAATAAATGTTAAAATGGCTTGCCATACTTGCCTCCTTCGCAAAGCCCCTATGTGTGGACCACCAGAAGAAGGCAGAGGAAAGAAATACGTACAGAACAGAGCATTATACCTCTCCCGTATGTTATTACTTGTCTTATTTAGTATGTAAAAACCAGGTCAGAAAAGTTCGCTTCGAGCCAGTCCCCAGCTATCATTTCGCTGAGCTCAGGCGTGCAATAGTCTGGAAATTCAAAGTGGGAGCTCAGGCTGCCCTCACTAAAAGACTCCAACTCCTTATCCACCAGAGAGAGGGAGAGGTTTTGGTTGCCCAGCTCCGAGCTTTGCGCGGAGGAGGCGAAGTTCAAACTGAAGTCAAAAAGCAAGTCGTCCGCGTCTTCGATTGAGCTGGAAGAAGTGGAAACTGACCTAGAGGATGCTGGTGAGACGGATGCAGGATACATTGTGCTCTGCTTGGTGATGTTTTTGAAATTGTAGAACTGTCTGTTGTTCCGGACCTCCTCGTACATGCTGGCGCCCTCGGACTCTGTAGACAAGCTCAAAGTTGGGCTGGCGGGAACTTTTGCTACATTGTAGGCTCGGATCGGATCCTCTTCCTCCTCCTTCACCCGGACTCGAGAGGAGTCCTCCTCGGAGTCGTCGTCTTCATCCGTGAATTCACTTTTAATGACAGTCTTTGAAACTTTAATGCTCTTAAACACGTAGTCATCTCCGTAGCAGTGAGACGACTTGCTTCCCGTCTTGTTCGCTTTTAGTTTGGGACATTTCTTGGAGTTCTTGGACATTTTGGTGCAGGACTTCTCTGGAGATGGGGCTGAGGGTTTGGAGGAACTGTCCAGCTTTGGTTTCTTCTTGGGTCTGTATTTGTAGTCAGGATAATCAGCCATGTGTTTCAACCGGAGTCTTTCGGCTTCCCTGATGAAAGGTATCTTTTCGCTGTCCTTCAGCATTTTCCAGCGCTTCCCCAAGCGTTTGGAGATCTCGGCGTTGTGCATGTCTGGAGACTGTTCCATGATCTTTCTCCGCTCGATTTTAGACCACACCATAAACGCGTTCATCGGTCGCTTTATGTGTCCGGTCGCTGTCTTGCACCAGTCTGGGTTTATCGAAACCATGAATTCACTTTCGTCGGAGTCGGTGGCTTCTCTGGACATGCTGTCCGTTTGCTGCACCATGGTGCCGTTGCCGTGTGTTGTCAGTCCAAAATATCACCCGCGTGCGTCTGCTCTCTGTGCCTCAGAGGTTCACCCACTCTTCTTTGCGCGGAGGAGGCGAAGTTCAAACTGAAGTCAAAAAGCAAGTCGTCCGCGTCTTCGCTTGAGCTGGAAGAAGTGGAAACTGACCTAGAGGATGCTGGTGAGACGGATGCAGGATACATTGTGCTCTGCTTGGTGATGTTTTTGAAATTGTAGAAGAGTCTGTTGTTCCGGACCTCCTCGTACATGCTGGCGCCCTCGGACTCTGTAGACGAGCTCAAAGTTGGGCTGGCGGGAACTTTTGCTACATTGTAGGCTCGGATCGGATCCTCTTCCTCTTCCTTCACCCGGACTCGAGAGGAGTCCTCCTCGGAGTCGTCGTCTTCATCCGTGAATTCACTTTTAATGACAGTCTTTGAAACTTTAATGCTCTTAAACACGTAGTCATCTCCGTAGCAGTGAGACGACTTGCTTCCCGTCTTGTTCGCTTTTAGTTTGGGACATTTCTTGGAGTTCTTGGACATTTTGGTGCAGGACTTCTCTGGAGATGGGGCTGAGGGTTTGGAGGAACTGTCCAGCTTTGGTTTCTTCTTGGGTCTGTATTTGTAGTCAGGATAATCAGCCATGTGTTTCAACCGGAGTCTTTCGGCTTCCCTGATGAAAGGTATCTTTTCGCTGTCCTTCAGCATTTTCCAGCGCTTCCCCAAGCGTTTGGAGATCTCGGCGTTGTGCATGTCTGGAGACTGTTCCATGATCTTTCTCCGCTCGATTTTAGACCACACCATAAACGCGTTCATCGGTCGCTTTATGTGTCCGGTCGCTGTCTTGCACCAGTCTGGGTTTATCGAAACCATGAATTCACTTTCGTCGGAGTCGGTGGCTTCTCTGGACATGCCGTCCGTTTCGCTGTTGTCCGTTTGCTGCACCATGGTGCCGTTGCCGTGTGTTGTCAGTCCAAAATATCACCCGCGTGCGTCTGCTCTCTGTGCCTCAGAG